AAAAAAAAATGCTTGTTGTATACACAGCGGCAAGTTGGTTCTTAAAAATGTATAACTTGACTGGATATTTTGTGCAGTAACCAGCAGAGAGCTCTGCAACGGGAGATGGACTTCAAGTCAACAGCTAGCGTCCTTTTAGACTTCTCCAGCTATTTTGATGAGGAGGAGGAAGAAAAGACAATAGGCACTCCAGACATCGAAACAGATGACCTTTATGTTCGCAAATTGAATGCTGCAGTGTCCAACATAAAAGATTCTTCTCATAAGTTTCTTCCCCAGTCTTGGACTCCAGGCGAAGAATTACACTGGAAAAAAGCTGATAGGATCTCTTTTTCCAAAAAATGGTATATGGACATTCAAGGATTCAGGTTTGTTGCCTTACCTGCTCTTTGGCATTCACAATCATATTTTAATCTCTTATATAGAAAGATTTTTTTTTTAAATTGGCTCAGATCAAAGAAGCCCTTTTATGTCCAAAGAGGGTGCGTTAAAAACTTCTTCGCCTGCCATTTGTGAACTTTGAAACGTGACTAATGTTTCAAGTAATCTTGGCACGCTGCCTTTCCCACAATTATTTTTACGCATTGTGTACTGAAATACATAATTTGCCTGCAATTTTTATGGCAGAACTTATGTGTTCCTTTACTTTCCCCCCTCTGCCTCTTCTCCAACCCGTGTGCTGCTTTGCAGTAAAAAAACAGATTCCGAAGAGCAAATTGCAGAAGTCCCACCAAGCGATATCAGCTGTGGTAGTTTGGATAATGTTTGCCGAGGGGACCCAGACTTCACTAGCCGAGCAGCTGAGGATGCGGCGCAGTCTCTAACACAAGCTGCAGAAAGAAACGTTAGCGACCCTTCTGATCTTCCAAGGTTGCTACAATTGCATGAGCTGTGCTGTCTTGTGTGTTGGGGAAAGCTCTGTTTGCCGAATAGTTAAATGGATAGTAAACAACATGGAAGCCGCTTTTAACTTTTTACGCTGTGGTCCATACGTTGTCGGTTTACCAAAATTCACACTACTAAAGTAAACGGAGTCGTCGTTTTCTGCTTGCTCGCCTGTGCTCCCTTGCCTATTCTGTGCAATGGCTCGTTTGTGTCGCCGCCGCTGTTCCGGAATAAAGCCGTTGTCCATAAAGACGTTGGAATGTAAGCCAGCCGTGTTCTAATGTTTGCAGGTGTGACGCTTTTCAGTTTTGGAGATTGTGCCTCTCTTCGTTTGCAGTTTTAAGCCTTGTTCTCACTAAGGTGGTAAACGTGACTGGGCTGTGCCACTTC